GGAACTATGACAAGAGGGAGGCATCTCTCTTCCACTGTTGCTTGGTATTCAGATGATGCTACCTCTGATTCTTGAAGAAGCACAAATGTATCAAGACTAGTAGCCATGCGAAGCATGATCTCCCATGAATTTGTCCAATCCCTTTTTAAAAATTATAAATTGATGGCTACCGCCTCCTCTAAAATTCACTATTCCAGTGTACATCAAGTAGCTTAAATTAAGCTGAGTACAAATTATAGAAACATATAGCCTGTGCGAGCTGGGCAAAGCATCATTCTTCTGCAGGAAACCAAACTGGGCATTTTAAAACTTGCCTGATTTCCTGATGCCATGGCAGACTCATCTCTTTTCCCTCCAAATGGCCAAAAAAAAAAAAACCCTCCAGAAGGCCCATGTCATTATAAAATTGCTCAAGTAATGACAAAGGGAGAAATTGGCAAATTGGCAAGAGGGGTCAACATCATGACCAACACTGTGGCTTTAAGCCACTGATGAGCATTGCTCAGCCTTGGCCTCATGGAGATGGATCAGCTGCCCATTTTAGTCATGATGCCATATTCCATCTGCATTCATAAAGCCAAGATATTTCTGTGGCATTTTGAATGATAACTAGATGAGGAAATCTATCCAGGCAGAAAGCCCCACTGAGCAAATGTTCAGGGAAGTATATTATATGACATAATCTCTACTGATGGTCTAAGCAGAGTCTGTTGACATTTTGAACTGAATTGGTAGTGAGTTTCTGACTGTTAGTTGGATGCCCTGATTCTGAAGATAGAAGGTTATCTCTATATGGGCACCGTAAGAGATTCCAAAATGCAAGTTAATGCAACAGACAGTCTATCATATAATGCCTGGAAATGTCCTGCAGAAGTAGAAGTAGGCAGAATAAAACACCATTTCAGTACCTTGGAAGAGTCATGCAGGAAGTAACAAGTTGCAAACTCTCAGCAGTGATCATTCTCACAACCCCTGACTGAGCTCAACTGAGGCCTTAAAAAGGCTGAAGAGTCAGATAATTCCTTACCTCCACCCCTGATGGTTGCTAACTCTGGACTTAAAGCGCCCCATGCTCTTTGGGATGCCTGCCACACCTGAATAGTTGACAAATTGCAGAATCTACAGATCCCAACCTGAGCTTTCAGTTGATGGAGGCTTACATACTCAGGTTGTAAAAAGAGGTGCTAAGAGTTGAAGTAAGGTGTCCTGAGCTTCATTGTCCTCTGCAACCTCAGCAGAAACCTGCCGGGCTCCTGACCCTGGACACTTCCTTAGGACAAGAAAGCATTACAATGAGCCCAACAATTCACAGTATGGCTGATGTCCAAACGATAAAGAAGCAGAGAAGGCAGCTGATCCTGTGCTGCAAAAGGCCATCATGGACCCACCAAGGTTACCGTGAAAGAAAGAGCCATGCAGGCAGTGCTGAACCTCCCTAGCGGCCAACTCTCTCTGATGAAGACTCGCTTTCCTTTTTTCAAAGCTACTTTAGAAACTCTCTGTAAGATTGAAATCCTTTAGAATCGGTCTGTACATCAACCTCCTGGGTTCAATAAACCAAAGAAAGATGCTTTTTCCAGCATGAACAGAGGGAGAGAAGGAATGTTCTCGCTCTTGCTTTTCTTGAAGTCTTACCAAACACCCAAGGATACCACGAGGCTGAAAGGTCATGTCAAACTATATTTAGGCATTCAAGCAAGCAGACTGGGACTAAAACAGGCACAGAGTTTGAAGGCACATTGCGCTCAATAATTCCCTAACTGGTTTCTTTTCTCTTCAGTTTCCATTGAACTTCCTTGGGGACTGTCATGAAAGACTTACTTACCCTTATCTATCTGATGTATTTTTACTTTAAATAGCTCCCACAGAACAATTGTAAGACAACTCCTGAGCTTAAGTTCTACAAGACGTGACACAGAAGAAAAGGAGTTAAGGGCACAACAGACGCCAGGTCAAGCACCAGGCCCTAAAGTTATAGCTTGCATCATAGTCCATTTGGCTGTGAATAGTTCCTGTGGCCCGATGAAATAGTTGCAAGCTAAGAGTCAACTGGGGCAAGCCAAAAGGCCACTTCTCTTCCAGCAGGGATGATAGAATAACGCGGCTTCTCCTCTTTTCACTGTTCCACAGTCTGATAGAATCAAAGTCCTATTTATTATAATAGACTAGGTGTGAAATATAGCTAAAAACAGATTTTAAGATAGCATTTTAGAGCACAGAAACTGCTCCGATCAATCTCAGCAATCCTTACAATCCAATCATGCAGATACTGTAGGTCTGCATTATTAATCCCATATTGTAGATGGGAAGACTGGAGCTCATCTCCAGTCTAAAGACCATCTAAAGATCATCTCATATGACCAGAACCAAGTGAAAATATGGCCATGCTCAAGTGAGATGGTCTTAAGCAAACCTCACCCATGTAAGGTGGTATAGTGGTGAAGTAGTTGGGCTAGGACATAGGAGACCCAAGTTCATGTCCATTCTCAGCCTGGAATCTAGGGCCAGTTTCTTTCTCTCAGTGCTACCTACCTCACTGGGCTGTTTTCATGGAAATAAAATGAAAGATGATACCTATGTAGTTTCTTTGAGATCCTGGGAAAAGGCAGGATAGAAATCTGAACAGCTTAATCCCCTTGTCATTGCACTGCATTTGTTCTTCAACTGAGCAAGGAGATTGGAAAATATGAAAACCCATTTACAGGAAGAAGGAAGAATCAGCGTAATTCAATGCAAGTTATTAGATTCAGATAAGAGAGCCAGGTTTAACTCTATGCTCATTGGGTGATTTGGAACTGGTCACTATATTTTAGCTTCATCTTCCCCACTGTTCAGGTGGGGATATTGATGGAGGATGGCATATGAGGAGGGTCATCATGAACTCTTGAAGAAAAGGCAGGACATGAATAAATGAAGACATATCGGATGCGTTCACAAAACACTTAACCAAATCAGCTGAAGATCTAGCTGCTAAATTCACACCACATGTTAAATCTGGTTAGATTTAACTTTTCAAGCAAAGGTTTTACTTTTAATCATTGTGGGTTTGGTTAGTTTATGAACTAATGTATTGTGCAAATCCCCCAAATGTATTAAGACCAACCTGTACATATGGGTAACCTGTCTCCTCTCTCTCCAATCTCCTCCATTTCTATCATCACCATCATCACCTCTATATCTATCTCCATAAACTCCATGTCCATCACCTTCCTCTCTATATAGCTCCCCCAATTCCATCACTTCAATTTCCATAATTTCCATCTCCATCTATTTATCCCTAGGATTGAATCCCAAAAAGCAATATTTCCACATTACTCCAAGGCGGTAGGAGAAACTAACTGCAAACTGCAATGACTGGAAGGCTTCCTGTGATGTCACCAAGAAATACACACATACATACATACCTATACATACACACATATACTGAAACTGGAGTTTTCAAAATGTAATGAAATCCTTTTTCTTTTCTTAACTTAATAAAGTGATAAATGAATGGCAAACATTCATTTTGGTACTTTTAAAAAGGAGCCAACTGTATGAAACAAGGGTAGGTTCTAGAGGAAGCACTTTTTAATTTCATTTTATTGTCATTTCCAGTTTTGTTATTCCCCAATTTTTCAGTAGGTTTGTTTTGGGGTAAGTAGAAAGGTACATTGAAGCTTAACTCTATTTTACCTCTCCCTAAAAAAGCTTGAGAAACTGCACCCCTGAAAAGCATCAATTTGCCAGTAAATTTTACGTATAAATTTTATGTATAATCTTGGGAGGCTCTGGAGTCTGCAAAATATTGGTGGAATTTGTATGCAGACTTTTTTTTTTTTTTTTTTTTGCGCCTTCGAGTCAGCTTTTGACTTCTGATGACTGCCTGGACAAGTCCATGCAGTTTTCTTGGCAAGGTTTTTCAGAAATGGTTTGCCCTGGCCTTCTCCTTCCTAGGGCTAAGAGAGAAGAACTAGCCCAAGGTCACCCAGCTGGCTTCCTGCCTAAGGTGGGACTAGAACTCAAAGTCTCCTGGTTTCTAACCTGAAGCTTAACCACTACACCAAACTGTCTCTCTGTATGCAAACTATTGGTCCACAAAATGCCCATAAACATAGCAGAGGACAAGACTTCCTGGCAGATATTTGAGGTCTATAGCATGCCTTGATTTAGTGGTGGATTTAGTGTTTTGCAATATACAGTCCCATCAGGGTAAGATGCCCTAATGGATGATGCAATGGTCTCAAGGTTAAAGTTCTTCTTTTTCTCCCTTGTGGGCCAAAATCAGGTTCAGTATCACAGGAAGCTTCATGCTTAATTAAAACACCCACCACACAGCTATAAATATATAAAAGAGCAGAAACATTAAACAGGGGAGAAGAAGCATATTGGGCATTCCTAGAGTTGTTTTTGTATGGTGTGGCCTGGTGACTCTACGTGTGCCAAGGTGGAGGGATCTGCAGTTGGAGACCAGCAAGAGCAAGCAGGATCCGAGAGAAGTCCACTGGTGGAAAAGGCAACAGTTTTTGGAGAACAGATCAGGGGCCACCGAGGACAGCTGGAGCAAGGAGCTGGAATCCAAGAAACTTCCAGAAACAAGTTATTTTTCCCTCTTCTTGCTCTCCTGCCTGGGAGAGAATTCAGCCCAGAAGTGAAAGAACAGAAAGATGCTATGTGAGTGACAGAGAGAAGGAGGGAGGGCAACAGGTAAGATGCTATAAAAAGCTCCATTTGAAAGTGTATGTATAGAATTGTATATAAAGTTTGTTAATATCCCTGTAAACACAGAAGAACTCTCTTTCTGTGTGTGTGTGTGTAAAGTTCCTGTCCCATTTCCCCGCCCTCCGGCCCTGACCACAAATTGTCAGCCATATTACCATCGTTAAGTAGTCTTAACAACCAGTACCACCTGAGAACTCAAATTTGCTGCATAGATAGACATGTCTACTAGCTCCAGACACACATCTAACTGAATGCATAATTCAAAGGCAAGGGGAAGGGACACCAATATGTTAACTCACTGCTATCAGCTGGTAGGAATTGTTCATCATTGCAATGAGCATATTTAGCAAAACCACCAGGGAGATGACATTGTACGTGCCAAACATGGTAGCCCCAACAAATTCTGTGAATTCATGCCTGGCTTTGACATTCGTGACGTAGAGATTCAGCAGACCAAACACGGACCAGAAGAGAGACTGAAGAGTTTCAAAGAGTCTGTAAAAAAAAAGAAAAAAGATAAATGATTTTTTAATTGATTGGATTGGATCTAGGAGAACAGATACACCCTTTGTCTTTCTCACTGAGATGGTGCTTCCAAAGGTTTTGGACCTCCGTCTTCTCACTTCCCAGCCAGTACGTCTTCCTGTATGCTGTCAGTTCATCACTGATGTTTTGGGTAGTGTGAGATTTCTCCCTTAGCTTGGCACTTGGAAAACCAGGACACAAATCAAGAGACGCTACTGAGCATTTAGCCCATGTGAATACATTTCTGAAAATCTATAGTAGGAAGTCTACATCTGCTAAGCTGGCAGAGAATCCAAACTTGCAGGAGAGGGGAGGAAAACCAGTATCAAACAGCAGCTGCTTTCTAAAGATATCTTTCGACAGCATAGCTGTTTCTACTTTCTAGTGTCTGCAACAAAATCCATCCCAGATATCATTCAAGAATCACTAGATAAGATGACAGAATTTCTGTTCCCATGACAGGAATGACACTACAAAAATCAAGGGGGAGGGAGAGAGGAGAGAATGGGAAGTGTGGATCTGAGAAGTGTGTTCTGCTTTCCACATGCAAACAATTCTAGAAAAGGGGAGTAATTTTTCCAAGTAGGAGATGCTTGTCCATGCTTGCTCATTTTTGTATCATCTACAGTCTGATTCCTGTCCATTCATAAATATTATTCAACCAATCTCCACCAGTTGGTGCCCTCTAGTGTGCTTGGACTACAATCCCCATGTTGTCTGGGACTGATTTAGCAGCATCCCTAAAGTGACAATGACGATATTCTCCTGGATAATCTGTCAATCCAAATAAATGAACTACAAGTATGGAGGCCTCCATTTGATATAATGTATTGGCAACCTAGACCTCTGGGTTTTAAAAAAATGATCTCCCACCATCTACTAACTCATTGGAGAGTTTTTGCACCTGAGAATTGTCTAGATACCCACTCCCTGCCTTTGCTCTTGAGAATGAATTCCCAAAAATTATTTTTGGGCCTTGTAATTAGGCCAAGCTTAGACACAGAAATAAGGCCTTCTTGCATATGGTTATCTGTGGAAAAGACATTCTTAGCCAAGAAACTGCAGTCTGAACATCTCTCCAAGATTCATTCTTTTATCATCCCTGTCAACCAAGGACATGATAAGAAGGACTGACTCAGATTGGTTAGCAATTACCAACACCAACTAGTGAAAAATGAAATCACTTCTCTTTTGATGTGGATGTGTAAGGACAAAGAACGGGCTGGTTGTCACAGATTCAGCCTACAGAGAGAACCCTAATGAAGTCCTTACTAGAGTGTTCTCCAACAGAAAACATTGTGTAAGTCCAAAGTAGAAGATAAAAAGAATGCCTTAAAAACTATTCGGCAACAACTGATAACAGCAGTGAGAATTAATGAGTCTGCAGGGTTTTGGAGATTATCTGCACTATGACTGAATCTTGAGCTGTCTCCTCTTGTTGGCAACATCACAGGTTTTCGCAGACTTTATTTGGAAGAAAAAAAAATCATTCTTCCTCTTGGGAGACAGACACAGACTGTCTGCCTATCTGGTCTTCTGTTTTGAGGGCTGAGACATTAAATTGATCAACCAGCTAAGAAGTAGAGAATTGGAAAGACATTTAGCTATGACTCTATTCACCCTTGATTGCTGGGTGCCCGTACTGGCTACGCTTTACATCCACATTGACCAAGCTTCCCCAATCTCTAAAGAGTGGGTCTAGCCATTATAAAACCCACTTTAAGAATAGTAGGAAGGAACATTCAATCACTTTCTTAATCTTTATTAGCTTTCTACCTGGCATTTCTACTGCAAATTGGTTGGCTGATGAACAAGTTGGCTTTGCACTCAGATGTTTGATACTGGACCAGGATTTGGTCTTTGGTAAAGAAATATATACATAAACCAGAATCAGTCCTATTTGCAGCATCTACGGATTTCAAGCAGGCCTTTGATTCAGTCTCCAGGGAGAATCTTTGGCAGAAGTTTAAGACCACCCTCTTTGATAGACCATCAAATGCTTATCTTCATAAATAAACTACACACTACATATCAGACAGGAAGACATAAGAGGAACACCTCTTGGAAGCCATACAAAATAACAGGGTAAAGCTAGAGTATATTCTTCTCCCTGCTGCTATTTTAATTATTACATACTACATCAATTCCATACTGAGATATTTCGATAAACTAGAGTGCCTTTCCCCAGTGAAAAACACAGAGTTGTTGATACAGTCATTCTGGCATAGCTTCCAAGGGGGTTAAGGAGAACATTGAACACATTCTTCCTCTGATGCAAAGATCACTTGCTGCAGCTTAGCTCTGATCAAGACCATGACGTCTGGGAGATCAAATATATTAGTCAGGAGCATTGATAAGCATAAAACTGAGCAAGTGCTGCTTTAAATACTAGACGGCTTTGCCACAGATTTGCAGCACCCATACATCTCAGGACTCTTAGAATGACCAAAGGAAGGAAGGAAGGAAGGAAGGAAGGAAGGAAGGAAGGAAGGAAAGAAGGAAAGAAAGAAAGGAAGGAAGGAAGCGGAGGGGGAGAGAAGAGAGGAAGGAAGGAAGGAAGGAGGGAAGGCGGAAAGAAAGAAGGAAGGAAGGAAGGAAAGAAGGAAAGAAAGAAAGGAAGGAAGGAAGCGGAGGGGGAGAGAAGAGAGGAAGGAAGGAAGGAAGGAGGGAAGGCGGAAAGAAAGAAGGAAGGAAGGAAGGAAAGAAGGAAAGAAAGAAAGGAAGGAAGGAAGCGGAGGGGGAGAGAAGAGAGGAAGGAAGGAAGGAAGGAGGGAAGGCGGAAAGAAAGAAGGAAGGAAGGAAGGAAAGAAGGAAAGAAAGAAAGGAAGGAAGGAAGCGGAGGGGGAGAGAAGAGAGGAAGGAAGGAAGGAAGGAGGGAAGGCGGAAAGAAAGAAGGAAGGAAGGAAGGAAAGAAGGAAAGAAAGAAAGGAAGGAAGGAAGCGGAGGGGGAGAGAAGAGAGGAAGGAAGGAAGGAAGGAGGGAAGGCGGAAAGAAAGAAGGAAGGAAGGAAGGAAAGAAGGAAAGAAAGAAAGGAAGGAAGGAAGCGGAGGGGGAGAGAAGAGAGGAAGGAAGGAAGGAAGGAGGGAAGGCGGAAAGAAAGAAGGAAGGAAGGAAGGAAAGAAGGAAAGAAAGAAAGGAAGGAAGGAAGCGGAGGGGGAGAGAAGAGAGGAAGGAAGGAAGGAAGGAGGGAAGGCGGAAAGAAAGAAGGAAGGAAGGAAGGAAAGAAGGAAAGAAAGAAAGGAAGGAAGGAAGCGGAGGGGGAGAGAAGAGAGGAAGGAAGGAAGGAAGGAGGGAAGGCGGAAAGAAAGAAGGAAGGAAGGAAGGAAAGAAGGAAAGAAAGAAAGGAAGGAAGGAAGCGGAGGGGGAGAGAAGAGAGGAAGGAAGGAAGGAAGGAGGGAAGGCGGAAAGAAAGAAGGAAGGAAGGAAGGAAAGAAGGAAAGAAAGAAAGGAAGGAAGGAAGCGGAGGGGGAGAGAAGAGAGGAAGGAAGGAAGGAAGGAGGGAAGGCGGAAAGAAAGAAGGAAGGAAGGAAGGAAAGAAGGAAAGAAAGAAAGGAAGGAAGGAAGCGGAGGGGGAGAGAAGAGAGGAAGGAAGGAAGGAAGGAGGGAAGGCGGAAAGAAAGAAGGAAGGAAGGAAGGAAAGAAGGAAAGAAAGAAAGGAAGGAAGGAAGCGGAGGGGGAGAGAAGAGAGGAAGGAAGGAAGGAAGGAACGAAGGAAGGAAGGAAGGAAGGAAGGAAGGAAGGAAGGAAGGAAGGAAGGAAGGCAGGCTGGCTGGCTGGCTGGCTGGCTGCTACAGGAGCTAAATATGTCATCTCTTGATAAAGCTCTTTGTGGCCAAAGAGTGGTTTCAATACAGGATCTACCTAAGTCTAGGCACCCATCTTACTAGGAGGCCATTTAATCTAAATTTTGGGGGGAAACCGCTGCAGTTACACCTCCAGGGTATATAACGTGGCTGTCTTCTTTTAATTTTTATTACAAAAGATTTTTAAAAATTTATTACAAAGATTTTTAAAAACAATAGAAACATAGAAGAAATAGACAAAGAAAGAGATTATAAAAGGGTAAAAGAAAAAGTGAAGAATAACAAAAAAGCAAGAAAAAGATATCTAAAGAAGTGACTTCCAATCTTTTTTGTAGCACTTACAGACGTAGTAATTACCATTTCCACCCTCCCATATTGCATATCATAGTTCCCTTCTTCCCTTAAGCAAACCTTTTTAATCAATAAATCCTCAGATCAGCAGTTCATTTTTATCATTTCAGCAAAAAGTCTATAAAGGGTTTCCAGTCTTTTATAAAAATAATTGTAGTTCCCTCCTTGATCAAAGAAGTCAATTTAGAATGTGGCTGTCTACACTGAGGTGGGGCTTGACCCAGGCTGAGATGAGGACATGGCTTATAATTTTTATATTTGGTTAATCTTATTTTTCACCCACAAAGGTTGGGCCCTTAATCTTGGCAGGTTAGACTCTGCTTAGATGTGGAGAGCTGAAGATCCTGTGGGCCCTCTCTTGAGGCACTGCTGAGTGATGATCAGGCTTAGGAAGACTTAAACACAGGGAACCAGCTGAATGGTCCAAACCAGCTAAGTCCCTGGATCAACTTCTTTTAAAATTTGTTTGTGTTGGTATCAAGCTTCAATATTTAACCCCCAAGAGTTCTCAAAGGTCAATTTAGCATGATTTCTGATGCCCTAAAATTATGCTCTGATAGTAATGGAGCAGTTGCATCACTGGGCTGTATTTTATTCTACCAATGTTTCTATAGAAACTCATTCCCACGCCTCTTCATTACCCTTCCCCCTCCCCCCCGGGGAAATCAGAAAAATTTTACGTACATCATATTTTTCTCCAACTGAGATGACCACTGAGTCTATTGCAATCAACTTCTAACAGCCCTCAGAACGACACCTAAACCGGACTCTTCTTGCAAACTGTTTATTTGGCTGGACCAGAAGATCACCAGGATA